CGTATACACGTGAGAGAGTGTTGTGAGGTCCTTTGTATTTCCATAACTTATTTTTTGCAGCAAAGTTTCACAAATAGATTCGAGGACGAATCCTCTTGAAGAAGTGGAGAATGATATGAACCAAGAATCATTGAAGCTAGACATGATCGATCTTGCTTCTGGAGTGATTCGAATCTCAAACAATGTTCTTGCCTTGAGATATTCGATCAACAAGGTAATCCGAATCTTATTCCCCTTGTAGTTGATTCCTTATCTTATCAAACGTCTTTTGTCGGGAGACTATAAATACCCACAATATGTTATGTAAAAATCATATTCGTGGATGAATGTAATTCAGATCTCAAATTGAGACATTTCCCTTAGAAATACGAGCATCATATTTGCCATTTCTAAGTTTCAAGCAATTCTTGTGGTAGAATTGCACCCAAGCCCTTCAATCAAGCCTTGATCAAGTTCGATTGTGAAGTGAATCAATTTAGAACAAGGTATCCAAATCTTGCTTCTAGATCTTCGATCATAAGAGGTAATCTAATTCTAGCCTTATCTCTTGGTTCATCCAAATTTTGTATAAGGAGGTGTTAATTACTTTGATTCAAGGGTTCTTGCTTCAACAAAAGATTGGATCGTTGGGCTGAGAATTAGGGTTGCCTTATCAATTTGGTATCCGAGCCTAGACTTACGTCTTTGTGGCCGACTCTAGAATTGATTTATCTTTCATTTCTGCTCTTGTTTATCTTTTCTTTAAATTTGTCCATTTATTTTCTTGCTGTCATTTCTGCCATTATTCACTAACTTTTCATTTTGTTCTCATTTTCTTCCTAAAGATCACGTTGAGATCTTGAAAAAAAAAATCTTATCATATTTGTTCTTACGATTGTGATTATAAACGATATTTATCATTTTTTTTAGATCATTTGCATGTTTATTTGAAGATCAAATAAACTTCAATTCACATCTTTTTCTTCATCCATTTAAATCTAGAACCGTTGTGTTTGATATATATATATTTTTTCTCATAATCTACGCTTGAAGATAACTTCTAAATTTCTCGAATTCTATAAAAAGGAGAGTTAGATCGTTCTTAAAATCTGCACGTCCTTTCTTTTTGGAATTTTTTTTTCAGTGTGCAATTATATCCAAAAATATCGTCATGTCCCTTTTTTTTTTTTTTTTGTTCATGTCTTTTTTTATTTTGTTGTTATTTCATAATTAACTTATCTTGATTGCCTTGAATAGCTTGCTACTACCAGAATTGCTTTACCGATATATTAGCTTGATCATAATTTAGTCACTTTCCCAAACAGCCTACCTTTGTGTGTATAAACACGAGTGTCCCTGAGTGAAGAATCAGTGAGTTGAGTGTGTGAGGTCCTAAACATATTCCACTACTGTTTATACAATCATGAACCAAGATGGAGGAAATGGAGGGGAGATCAATGAAGCTAGGTGGAGAGAAGCACAGGTCGGAACAATTACTCATTTGAATCAAATTATTAGTACATTGACAGACTAGATGGAGCGAATTGAAATAGCCTTAGGTAATCTTCAAGGGTGGGAAGTACTTTTGAATGAAGGAGTTGAAAATGAAGAAGATGACAATATCACCCTTTTAACAGGACATAGTCCTAGGGGAGGGAGAGATGTCGGTCGAGGGAGAGGAAGAGTCTGAAGAAGGGGTAGAGAAATTTTAGCACCAAAAAGAATCGAGAGGGAGTATCAGTATGAGAGAGAAAAAGAAAAAGGAGTCGGGGGAGTAAAGCTAAAAAATCCAACTTTCTATGGGAGATCTGATCCAGAGGAGTATTTGCAATATGAGAGCAAAATTGAGCATGTCTTCGATTGCAACAATTTCAGTGAAGAAAGGAAGTTGAAGCTTGCTGTGGCTGAATTTTGTGATTACGCCATTATATGGTGGACATCTTTGAAATCAGAGTGGAGGAGAAATTATGAAGGACCAATTGAAACGTGGGAGGAATTGAAGACATTAATGAGAAAAAGGTACATTCCTAAGCATTATTCTCGAGTACTCAAGCAAAAACTCTATACTTTACAACAGGGATCCAAAAGTGTTGAAGAATATTACAAAGAAATGGAGACCCTTATGAATAGAGCATGTATTGATGAAGATGAGGAAGATACAATGGCTAGATTTCTTGGTGGGTTAAACCGACAACTTGCTCATCAAGTGGATAGGCAAGCGTACTTTGATATGCAAGAATTGTTACACCTTGCTGTCAAAATCGAAGGGCAACTAGCTTGGGAGAAGGAGAACTCCAAGAGGTATGGTATTTCAAAGTCTACTACTTTCAACACTTGGAAAAAGAATGCAAATATTGAAAAGATAGATTTCAAAGTTGGAGGCAAGTATGATATTGACAAAAAAGAACAAAGTTGAGACCTCCAAGGGTAAAGAGAAAGCGGAGGAATATAAGGAGATTCGAGAAAGAAATAGAGACATCAAATGTTGGAAATGTCAAGGAATTGGTCATCTTAGTCGTGATTGTCCTAACAAGAGAGTCATGATCATCAAGAATGGACAAGTTGTCACAGATAGTGAGGAAAGTGACCATGATGAGCTAGTTGAAGAGGAAATCCAGGAGAATGAGGAGGAACTAGAAGATGGGAGTCATTTGGTACTTGTAACCAGAAGACTTCATAAAACTCAAGTTACAGAGAATGATGTTGATGATCAAAGAGATAACCTATTTCACACAAGGTGTTTGGTTAAGGGTACTCCTTGCAGTCTTGTAATTGATAGTGGAAGCTGCACCAATGTCGTAAGTACAATGCTGATTAAAAGATTGCTAATTCCAACCCAACACCATCCTAAACCTTACAAGCTTAAATGGCTCAATGACAGTGGAACAATGAAGGTAACTTCTCAAGCTTTAATATCTTTTACTTTAGGAAAATATAAAGATGAAGTTCTTTGTGATGTTTTACCAATGCATGCTGGAGACATATTGCTTGGCCGACCATGGCAATTTGACAGGAGGGTTATGTATGATAGCTATTTGAATAGGTATTCTTTTGTAAAAGATGGTAGAAAAACCACTCTTGTACCTTTGAGTTCTGCAAATATATTTGCTGATCAATTAAAGTTGGAAGAAAAAAAGAAAGAGTTTGAGGAAAAAGAGTTGAGTGAAAAAATAGAGAAAAGTCAACGAGAAAACCATAGTGAAAAAAAGAATGAAATTGGAAAAAAAAGAAAAGAATGTGAGTTGTTTGGCTAGAGTTGGAGAGGTTAGAAGGGCAATGTTCTCACAAAAAAACCATCTTTGTACTTGTGTACAAGGAAGAATGTTTGGTCTCTAACGATAATAATTTGTCTTTGCCTTATGTTTCAATCTCTTTTACAGGAATTTGATGACATATTCCAAGATGAAGTCCCTAAAGGACTACCTCCCATTAGAGGTATTGAACATAAAATAGACTTCATTCCAGGTGCAGTAATTCCTAATAGACCAGCTTATAGAGCCAACCAACTGAGACTAAAGAAATTCGAAGGCAAGTAGAGGAGCTTATGGAGAAGGGCTATATACGAGAGAGTTTGAGTTCATGTTCTGTACCAGTCTTATTTGTACCAAAGAAAGATGGAACGTGGCGCATGTGCGTGGATTGTAGAGCCATCATCAAAATCACGGTAAAGTATCGACATCCTATTCCTAGGCTAGACGATATGCTTGATGAATTGCATGGTTCATGTTTATTTACAAAGATTGACTTGAAATCTGGATATCATCAAATTAGAATGCATGTAGAAGACGAATGGAAAATCGCGTTCAAAACTAAGTTTGGATTGTATGAATGGCTTGTTATGCCTTTTGGGTTAACTAATGCTCCTAGTACATTTATGCGCTTAATGAATCACGTTTTGAGAGAATATTTAGAAAAGCATGTTGTTGTGTATTTTGATGATATTTTAATTTATTCAAAGACCTTGCGTGAGCATGTGGAGCATGTTAAGTTAGTTTTGTTACACTTAGAAAAGAGAAACATTATGCTAATTTTAATAAGTGTAGTTTTTGCATGGAAAAAGTTAACTTTCTTGGCTTCATAGTTGGTAAAAAAGGAGTAGAAGTAGATGAAGAGAAAGTTAAAGCAATCAGGGATTGGTCAACACCACAAAATGCAAGTGACGTTCGAGTTTTCATGGGTTAGCTAGCTTCTATAGGAGATTTATAAAATATTTTAGCACCATAGCTGCACCATTGAATGACTTAGTGAAAAAGAATATTGTTTTTAAATGGGGAGATAGGCAAGAGAATGCGTTTAATGAACTTAAGAATAAATTAACCAATGCACCATTACTTGTCTTGCCTGACTTATTTTTTAGGGAAGTAGTAGATTACATGGAATCCCTAGAATAATTGTTAGTGATAGGGCTGCTAAATTTCTAAGTCACTCTTCTAAAAGTATTGTGGGGTAAATTAGGTACCAAATTGTTGTTTTCAACTACATGTCATCCTCAGATGAATGAACAAACTGAGGTGGTTAATAGAACATTAGGAGTATTACTTAGGGCTATTATTTCTAAGAATATTAAGTCTTGGGATGAATGTTTGCCATTTGTAGAGTTTGCATATAATAGAGCAATTCATAGTACAACTCATTGTTCTCCTTTTGAAGTTGTTTATGGATTTAATCCACTTGCGCCTCTTGATTTGCTTCCTATTCCTTCTAATATATTTGTGAGTGACGCAGCCACAAGTAAGGCAGACTTGATCAAAACATTGCACAAGGAGGTGAAGGAGAGAATTGAGAACCAAAATTTCAAAGTTTCTTCAAGGATTAACAAAGGACGGAAGGAAATCATTTTTAAACCTGGTGACTGGGTTTGGATACATTTTCGCAAGTAGCAATTCCCATCTCAACGGAAGACAAAGTTACATCCAAGAGGGGATGGCCCTTATCAAGTCATTGAAAGAATTAATAACAATGCATATAAAATTGACATTCCCGGAGACTTTTCAGTACATTCTACTTTCAATGTTGCTGACTTGAGTCCTTTTGATGTAGGTGATGATTTTTCTGATTCGAGGACGAATCCTTTTGAAGAGGGGGAAGATGATAAGAATCATGGTGTTCCAAATGTTCCAACTGGACCTATTACACGATCCAAGGCGAAGAAGATTCAACAAACATTCATTCTTCATCTACAAAATTGGACCTATTACACGATCCAAGAATCATTCTTCATCTACAAAATTGGATCGGCTACGAAGGATAATTGAATATTTGCATGGTTGAAGTTGAAAAACATTAAAATGTCAACAATAGAGTTTAAACCTACACAAATGAAGCCTAATAGATTTCAAGTTTATTTCTTTAGCCACTCAAACATATCAACATTTATTAAAAGATTTTATTGTTTTTTGTTTTCATTTTGCATTGGTCAATTGGTCAAAATTGACTTCGTTATTTGTGGAGATTAAAGGGGATCGGGATTGAATCCCGTCCACAAACGTCTTTTGTCGGGAGACTATAAATACCCATAATATGTTATGTAAAATTCAGATTCGTGGATGAATGTAATTCAGATTCGTGGATGAATGTAATTCAGATTCGTGGATGAATGTAATTCAGATTTCAAATTGAGATGTTTCCCTTAGAAATACGAGCATCATATTTGCCATTTCTAAGTTTCAAGCAATTCTTGTGGTAAAATTTCACCCGAGCCATTCAATCAAGCCTTGATCAAGTTAGATTGTGGAGTGACTCAATTTAGAACATGGTTTCCAAATCTTGCTTTTAGATCTTCGATCGTAAGAGGTAATCTAATTCTAGCCTTATCTCTTGGTTGACCCAAATTTCGTATAAGGAGGTGTTAATTACTTTGATTCAAGGGTTCTTGCTTTAACAAAAGCTTGGATCGTTGGGCTGAGAATTAGGGTTGCCTTATCAGTTTGGTATCAGAGCGTAGGTTTACATCTTTGTCGCCGACTCTAGAATTGATTTTATCTTTCATTTCTGCTATTGTTTATCTTTTCTTTAAATTTGTCCATTTATTTTCTTGCTGTCATTTCCGCCATTATCCATCAACTTTTCACTTTGTTCTCATTTTCTTCCTAAATATCACGTTGAGATCTTGAAATTTTTTTTTATCATATTTGTTCTTACGATTGTGATTATAAACTATCATTTTTATCATTTTTTTAGATCATTTGCATGTTTATTTGAAGATCAAATAAACTTCGATTCACATCTTTTTCTTAATCCATCTAAGTCTAGAACCGTTGTTGATATGAACCAAAAGACATCAATCATACAATATGCTTCAATGAAGATGTGAAGAAAAAGTTGTCAAAATTATCAAAAGATGTTTCAATTCATGCTACATTGAAGAAGAATAAAGTTTGATTGTTGTAAATTTTGGGTGGGTTATAATTTAGAGTTATTGTGTTTTAAGACTGGGAAAATATAGTAAAAGAAGCATTTGTGCTTTTCTTTAGCCAATGGCTAATTTTCTTTGCAATTCTATGTAGTTTAGATTGCATGTAGAATCATTCAAGCTCGACATGATCAATCTTGCTTGTGGAGTGATTCGAATCTCAAACAAGTGTTCTTGCGTTGAGGTATTTGATCAACAAGAATCATTCAAGCTAGACATGATCGATCTTGCTTGTGGAGTGGTTCGAATCTCAAACAATGTTCTTGCCTTGAGATATTCGATCAACAAGGTAATCCGAATCTTATTCCCCTTGTAGTTGATTCCTTATCTTATCATTTGGTATCAGAGCTTGAATTTAGAAGTTATCTTCATTGAAGCTAGACATAAGGAATCAACTACAAGGGGAATAAGATTCGGATTACCTTGTTGATCGAATATCTCAAGGCAAGAACATTGTTTGAGATTCGAACCACTCCACAAGCAAGATCGATCATGTCTAGCTTGAATGATTCTTGTTGATCAAATACCTCAACGCAAGAACACTTGTTTGAGATTCGAATCACTCCACAAGCAAGATTGATCATGTCGAGCTTGAATGATTCTACATGCAATCTAAACTACATAGAATTGCAAAGAAAATTAGCCATTGGCTAAAGAAAAGCACAAATGCTTCTTTTACTATATTTTCCCAGTCTTAAAACACAATAACTCTAAATTATAACCCACCCAAAATTTACAACAATCAAACTTTATTCTTCTTCAATGTAGCATGAATTGAAACATCTTTTGATAATTTTGACAACTTTTTCTTCACATCTTCATTGAAGCATATTGTATGATTGATGTCTCTTGGTTCATATCACATATATATATCAAACACAACGGTTCTAGATTTAGATGGATGAAGAAAAAGATGTGAATCGAAGTTTATTTGATCTTCAAATAAACATGCAAATGATCTAACAAAATGATAAATATCGTTTATAATCAATCGTAAGAACAAATATGATTAGGCTTGTTGATTTAGAATAGAATTTCGAAGAAACGGAGAGCATAAAACAGATAAAGAGTGCTTCAAATCGAAACCCTATTTTGGAAACCCTATACTCGAACGTTTGAAGTACGTGCTAAAAAAAACCAAGTCACGGCCGACGGGTTTCAAAACTTTTTTGGGGAATGATTAGGCTTGATTATTTAAAATAGTATTTCTAAGAAACGGAGTGCATAAAACAGATAAAGAGTGCTTCAAATCGTAACCTTAATTCGGAAACCCTAAATTAGGACGTTTGAAGTACGTGCTAAAAAACCGAGTCACGGCCAACGTTTTTTGAAACTTTTGTGGGGAATGATTAGGCTTCATGATTTAGAATAGAATTTCCTAGAAATAGAGAGCATAGAAGAGACAAAAAGTGCATTAAATCGAAACCCTATTTCGAAGAAACGGAGTGCATAAAAAAGATAAAGATTGTTTCAAATTGAACCCTATTTTGGAAACCTTTAACTGGCACGTTTGGAGTACGTTCTAAAAAAATCGAGTCATGAAGATTCAAAAGAAATATGTCAACAATAGAATTTGAACCTTGCACAGATAGCTCAATTAATTTCAAACTTATTGCATTGCCACTCAGCATACCAACATTTGTTAGAAAGAACTATGTTTAAATTCATAAATTATGTAAAAGTCAAATGGTCAATTTGACTTATTCTTTGTGGAGATTAAAGGGGATCGGGAATAAATCCCGTCCACAAATGTCTCGAATAAATCTCGTCCACAAATATCTTTTGTCGGGAGACTATAAATACCCGCAATATGTTATGTAAAATGCAGATTCGTGGATGAATGTAATTCATATCTCAAATTGAGACGTTTCCCTTAGAAATCTGAACATCATATTTTCCATTTCTAAGTTTCAAGCAATTTTTGTGGTAGAATTGCACCCGAGCCATTCAATCAAGCCTTGATCAAGTTAGATTGTGGAGTGACTCAATTTAGAACTAGGTTTCCAAATCTTGCTTCTAGATCTTCGATCGTAAAAGGTAATCAAATTCTAGCCTTATCTATTGGTTGATCCAAATTTCATATAAGGAGGTGTTAATTACTTTGATTCAAAGGTTCTTGCTGCAACAAAAGCTTGGATCGTTGGGCTGAGGATTAGGGTTGCCTTATCAGAAACGGAGAGCATAAAATAGATAAAGAGTGCTTCAAATCAAAACCCTATTTCAGAAACCCTATACTCGAACGTTGAAGTACGTGCTAAAAAAACTGAGTCATGGCCGACGTTTTTCAAAACTTTTTTGGGGAATGATTAGGCTTGATTATTTAGAATAGTATTTATAAGAAACGAAGGGAATAAAACAGAAAAAGAGTGCTTCAAATCGTAACCTTAATTCGGGAACCCTAAATTAGGACGTTTGAAGTACGTGCAAAAAAATCGAGTCACGGCCGACGTTTTTCAAAACTTTTATGGGGAATGATTAGGCTACATGATTTAGAATAGAATTTCAACGAAACAGAGAGTATAAAAGAGATAAAAAGTGCTTCAAATCGAAACCCTATTTCGAAAACCCTAATTTGGATGTTTGAAGTACGTGCTAAAAAAATCGAGTCACGACTGACGTTGTTCGAAACTTTTGTGGGGAATGATTGGGCTTCATGATTTAGAATAGAATTTCGAAGAAATAGAGTGCATAAAACAGATAAAGAGTGCTTTAAATTGAAACCCTATTTCGGAAACCCTAAACTGGGACATTTGATATACGTGCATAATAAACTGAGTCATGGCCGACGTTTTTCGAAACTTTTGTGGGGAATGATTTAGCTTGATGATTTAGAATAGAATTTCGAAGAAACGGAGTTCATAAAAAAGATAAAGATTGTTTCAAATCGAAACCCTATTTCGGAATCCCTAAACTGGGACGTTTGAAGTAAGTGCTAAAAAAACAAAGTCACGGCCAATGATGTTCGAAACTTTTGTGGGGAATCATTAGGCTTGATGATTTAGAATACAATTTCGAAGAAACGTAGTGCCTAAAACAGATAAAAGAGTGCTTCAAATCGAAACCCTATTTTTGAAATCTTAAACTGGGATGTTTGAAGTAAGTGCTAAAAAAACCGAGTCACGACCGACGTTTTTTGAAACTTTTGTGGGGAATGATTAGGCTTCATGATTTAGAATAGAATTTCCAAGAAACGGAGAGCATAAAAGAGATAAAAAGTGCTTTAAATTGAAACCCTATTTCAAAAACCCTAATTTAGACGTTTGAAGTACGCGCTAAAAAATCGAGTCACGGCCGACGTTTCTAGAAACTTTTGTGGGGAATAATTAGGCTTCATGATTTAGAATAGAATTTCAAAGAAACAGAGAGCCTAAAAGAGATAAAAAGTGGTTCAAATCGAACCCCTATTTCGAAAACCCTAAATTGGAGTTTGAACTACGTGCTAAAAAAACCGAGTCGCGGCCGACATTTTTCGAAACTTTTGTGGGGAATGATTAGGCTTGATGATTTAGAACAGAACTTCGAAGAAACGGAGTGCATAAAACAGATAGAGTGCTTCAAATCTAAACCTTATTTCGGAAACCTCAAACTGGGACGTTTGAAGTGCGTGCTAAAAAAATCAAGTCACGGCCGACGTTTTTCGAAAATTTTGTGGAGAATGATTAGGCTTGATGATTTAGAATACAATTCCGAAGAAACGGAGTGTGTAAAACAGATAAAGAGTGCTTCAAATCGAAACCCTATTTCGAAAACCCTAAACTGAGACGTTTCAAGTACGTCCTAAAAAAACCGAGTCACGTCCGACGTTTTTCGAAAATTTTGTGGGGAATGATTTAGGCTTGATGAGTTATTATAGAATTTCGAAGAACGATTGTTCTTAAAGTCACGAAAAGTCACGGCCGATGTTGTTCGAAACTTTTGTGGCGAATGATTAGGCTTGATGAGTTAGAATAGAATTTCGAAGAAACGGAGTGCATAAAACAGATAAAGAGTGTATCAAATCGAAAACCTATTTCGGAAACCCTAAACTGGGAGGTTAGAAGTAAGTGCTAAAAAAACAAAGTCACGGCCGATGATGTTCGAAACTTTTGTGGGGAATGATTAGGCTTGATGATTTATAATAGAATTTCGAAGAAACGGAGTGCATAAAACAGATAAAGAATGCTTCAAATCGAATCCCTATTTCGCATACCCTAAACTTGGACGTTTGAAGTACGTGCTAAAAAAACGAGTCACGGCCGACTTTGTTCGAAACTTTTGTGGGGAATCATTAGCCTTGATGATTTAGAATACAATTTCGAAGAAACGGAGTGCCTAAAATAGATAAAGAGTGCTTCAAATCGAATCCCTATTTCGAAAACCAAAAACTGGTAAGTTTGAAGTAAGTGCTAAAAAAACCAAGTCACGGCCGACATTTTTCGAAACTTTTGTGGGGAATGATTTAGCTTGATGATTTAGAATAGAATTCCGAAGAAACGGAGTGCATCAAAAAGATAAAGATTGTTTCAAATCGAAACCCTATTTCAAAATCCCTAAACTGGGACGTTTGAAGTAAGTGCCAAAAAAACAAAGTCACGGGCAATGATGTTCGAAACTTTTGTGGGGAATCATTAGGCTGGATGACTTATAATAGAATTTCGAAGAAACGGAGTGCATAAAACAGATAAAGAGTGCATCAAATCGAAACACTATTTCGAAAACCCTAAACTGGGACATTTGATGTAAGTGCTAAAAAACAAAGTCACGGCCAATGATGTTCGAAACTTTTGTGGGGAATCATTAACCTTGATGATTTAGAATACAATTTCGAAGAAACGTTGTGCCTAAAATAGATAAAGAGTGCTTCAAATCGAAACCCTATTTCTGAAACCCTAAACTGGGATGTTTGAAGTAAGTGCTAAAAAATCCGTGTCATGGCCGACGTTTTTCAAAACTTTTGTGGGGAATGATTAGGCTTGTTGATTTATAATAGAATTTCAAAAAAACAGAGTGCATAAAACAGATAAAGAGTGCTTCAAATCGAAACCTATTTCGAAAATCCTAAACATGAACGTTTGAAGTACGTGCTAAAAATACCTTGTCACGGTCGATGTTTTTCAAAACTTTTGTGGGGAATTATTAGGCTTGATGATTTAGAATAAAATTTCGAAGAAACAGAGTGCATAATAAAGATAAATAGTGTGATATGAACCAAGAGACATCAATCATACAATATGCTTCAATGAAGATGTGAAGAAAAGGTTGTCAAAATTATCAAAAGATGTTTCAATTCATGCTACATTGAAGAAGAATAAAGTTTGATTGTTGTAAATTTTGGGTGGGTTATAATTTAGAGTTGTGTTTTAAGACTTTTTATTTAATTTCGGTTACATTTACATAATGGCTAATTATGGCCATAAAGTGTGAATGTTACAACTTTTGGAATTTCATTTTGAGGCTATATAAAGCCATCTATGTTGTATTTGTATTCAGACTTGGAAAATATAGTAAAGAAGCATTTGTGCCTTTTTTTAGCCGATGGCTAAGTTTCTTTGCAATTCTATGTAGTTTAGGTTGCATGTAGAATCATTCAAGCTCGACATGATCAATCTTGCTTGTGGAGTGATTCGAATCTCAATCAAGTGTTCTTTCTTGCATTGAGATATTTGATTAACAAGAATCATTGAAGCTAGACATGATCGATCTTGCTTCTGGAGTGATTCGAATCTCAAACAAAGTGTTCTTGGCTTGAGATATTCGATCAACAAGGTAATCCGAATCTTATTCCCCTTGTATTGATTCCTTATCATATCATAGTGCTTCAAATCGAAACCCTAATTTGGAAACCCTAAACTGGGACGATTGATAGACATTCTAAAAAAAACCGAGTTACGATCGACGTTTTTCGAAACTTTGTGGGGAATGATTATGCTTGATGATTTAGAATAGAATTTCAAAGAAATGGAGGGTACAAAACAGTAAACGATTGCTTAAAGTTGAAACCCTAATCCGGGACGTTTGAAGCACGTGCAAAAAAAAAAAAAAAAAAAAAAAATCGAGTAAAGCTAGATGTTTTTCAAATTTTTTGTGGGAAATGATCAAGCTTGGTTATTTAGAATAGAACTTCGAAGAAACATGACCAAACTTGCATGTTTCCCAAATAAATCCCACAAATTTGAGTGGAATTTAGAGTGTCAAAATTTGGTTTGACCAAACTTGCATGTTTGCCAAGTAAACCCCACAAATTTGAGTGAAATTTTGAGTGTCAAAATTTGGTTAATTCAAACTTGCATGCTTGCCACATAATCTCACAAATGAGTGTCAAAATTTGGTAATCTCAAATTTGCATGAACATGCAAATATGACTATAAATAGAGTGATCAAGGTACATGGAAAGAACGCTTGAAAAAATTTGAGAAATCTCTCCAAACTTTCTCTTTTCATATATTAAATTCCTATCAAGTTTAGTCACTCACCGGATTCCACAATCTCGTTCTAACGCCCGAGAATAGTAGGGAAGACACTAGTGGTGGTTCAAAATCGGTTCGTGAGGAAAAAGGAATTTGAACTACAAAATGTTAGTACTTAAAGACCTTGAGTTTTAATACTCATGAACATGCTAGTTATTTACTATAATTGATGTTCTAAGAGTGCCTAAGATCCAAATTGCTTCCGCATGTGTTATATTAACTCCACCATTTCGTTGGTTAGTGAACAGGTCGGGTAGGATTTTGAGCACGGGGATTGAGCACCATTTCTTTGGTACTATTTGAGTTACAGAGGGTAGATTGGGTTGTGTGCGGTTTCGATTTGAAGCACTCTTTATCTGTTTTATGCACTCCATTTCTTCAAAATTCTATTCTAAATCATCAAGCCTAATCATTCCCCACAAAAGTTTCGAAAAACATCGTCCGTGACTCGGTTTTTTAGCACGTACTTCAAACGTCCCAGCTTAGGGTTTCGATTTGAAGCACTTTTTATCTATTTTATGCACTCCGAGTTTAGGGTTTCCAAATTAGTGTTTCGATATGAAGCACTCTTTATCTGTTTTATGCTCCCCATTTCTTCGAAATTCTATAATAAATCATCAAGCCTAATCATTCCCCAGAAAAGTTTTGAAAAACGTCGAACGTCACTCGGTATTTTTTTGCATGTACTTCAAAGGTCCCAGTTTAGGTATTTTGAATTAGGGTATCGATTTGAAGAACTCTTTATCTGTTTTATGCACTCCGTTTCTTCGAAATACTATTCTAAGTACTCAAGCCTAATCCTTCTCCAAAAAAGTTATGAAAAACGTCAGCCGTGACTCGGTTTTTTTTAGCATGTACTTCAAACATTCGAGTTTAGGGTTTTCAAATTAGGGTTATGATTTGAAGCACACTTTATCTGTTTTATGCACTCCGTTTCTTCGAAATACTATTCTAAATCATTAAGCCTAATCATCACACAAAAGTTTAGAAAAACGTCGGTCGTGACTCGGTTTTTTAGCACTTACTTCAAACGTCCCAGTTTAGGGTTTCGATTTGAAGCACTCTTTATCTTTTTTATGCACTTCGTTTCTTCGAAATACTATTCTAAATAATCAAGCCTAATCATTCCCCAAAAAATTTTATAAAAATGTCGAACGTCACTCGGTTTTTTTAGCACGTACTTCAAACGTTTGAGTTTAGTGTTTCCGAATTAGGGTTTTGATATGAAGCCTTCTTTCTCTTTTTTATTCTCCCCGTTTCTTCAAAATTCTAGTCTAAATCAACAAGCCTAATCATTCCCCACAAAAGTTTTGAAAAATATTGAACGTCACTTGGTATTTTTTGTACGTACTTCAAACGTCCCAGTTTAGGTTTTCTGAATTAGGGTATCGATTTGAAGAACTCTTTATTTGTTTTATGCACTCGGTTTATTCAAAATACTATTCTCAATCATCAAGTCTAATCATTCCCCATAAAAGTTTCAAAAAACATCGATCGTGGCTCGGGTTTTTTATCACGTACTTTAAGCGTCCCAGTTTAGAGTTTCCAAAATAGGGTGAAGCACTCTTTATCTGTTTTATGCACACCTTTTCTTCGAAATACTATTCTAAATAATCAAGCCTAATTATTCCCCATAAATGTTTCAAAAACGTCGGCTGTGACTCAGTTTTTTTAGCAGGTACTTCAAACGTCCCAGTTTAAGGTTTTCGAAATAGGGCTTTGATTTGAAGCACTCTTTATCTATTTTATGCTCTCCGTTTCTTCAAAATTCTATTCTAAATCATCAAGCCTAATCATTCCCCACAAAAGTTTCTAAAAACGTCGAACGTCACTCAGTTTTTTTAGCACGTACTTCAAATGTCCGAGTTTAAGGTTTTCGAAATCGGGTTTCGATTGGAAACACTCTTTCTATGTTTTATGGTCTTCGTTTCTTCAAAATTCTATTCTAAATCATCAAGCCGAATATTCCCCACAAAAGATTCTCAAACATCGAACGTCACTCAGTTTTTTTAGCACGTACTTCAAACGTCCGTGTGTAGGGTTTCTGAATTAGGGTTTTGATATGAAGCACTCTTTATTTTTTTTATGCAACCCGTTTCTTCGTAATTCTATTCTAAATCATCAAGCCTAATCATTCCCCACAAAAGTTTTGAAAAACGTCGAACGTCACTTGGTATTTTTTGCACGTACTTCAAATGTCCTAGTTTAGGGTTTCCGAAATAGGGTTTCGATTTGAAGCATTCTTTATCTGTTTTATGCATTCCGTTTCTTCGAAATACTATTCTAAATAATCGAGCCTAATCATTCCCCACAAAATTTTTGAAAAACGTCGAACGTCTCTCGGTATTTTTTGCACGTACTTCAAACGTCCAAGTTTAGGTTTTCCGAATTAGGGTATTGATTTGAAGAACTCTTTATCTGTTTTATGCACTCCATTTCTTCAAAATACTATTCTAAATTATGAAGCCCAATCATTCCCCATAAAAGTTTCAAAAAACGTCGGCCGTGAATCGGTTTTTTAGCCCGATATTTCAAACGTCCCAGTTTAAGGTTTCCGAAATAGGGTTTCGATTTGAAGCATTCTTTATTTGTTGTATGCACTTCGTTTCTTCGAAATACTATTCTAAATCATCAAGCCTAATCATTCCCCACAAAAGTTTTGAAAAACCTTGGCTGTGACTCAGTTTTTTTAGCACGTACTTCAAACGTCCGAGTTTAAAGTTTCAGAAGTATGGTTTCGATTTTAAGCACTCTTTATCTATTTTATGCTCTCTGTTTCTTCGAAATTATATTCTAAATCATCAAGCCTAATTATTTCCCACAAAAGTTTCTAAAAACGTCGAACGTCACTCAGTTTTTTTAGTACGTACTTCAAACGTCCGAGTGTAAGGTTTTCGAATTATGGTTTCGATATGAAGCACTCTTTATCTGTTTTATGCTCCCCGTTTCTTCGAAATTCTATTCTAAATCATCAAGCCTAATCATTCCCCACAAAAGTTCCCAAAAACGTTGGCTGTGATTCGATTTTTTAGCACTTACTTCAAACGTCTGAGTTTAGGGTTTCCGAAATAGGGTTTCAATTTGAAGCACTCTTTATCTGTTTTATGCTCTCCATTTCTTCAAAATTCTATTCTAAATCATCAAGCCTAATCATTCCCCACAAAAATTTTGAAAAACAACGAACGTCACTTGGTATTTTTTGCACGTACTTCAAACGTCCCAGTTTAGGTTTTCCGAATTAGGGTATCGATTTGAAGAACTCTTTATCTGTTTGATGCACTTCGTTTCTTCGAAATACTATTCTAAATCATCAACCCTAATCATTCCCCACAAAAGTTCCCAAAAACGTCGGCTGTGACTCGGTTTTTTAGCACGTACTTCAAACGTGTGAGTTTAGGGTTTCCAAAATAGGGTTTTGATTTGAAGCACTCTTTATCTGTTTTATGCACTCCGTTTCTTCGAAATACTATTCTAAATCATCAAGCCTAATGATTCTTCATAAAATTTTTGAAAAACGTCGAACGTCACTCGGTATTTTTTCCACGTACTTCAAACGCCCAAGTTTAGGTTTTCCAAATTAGGGTATCGATTTGAAGAACTCTTTATCTGTTTTATGCACTCTGTTTCCTCAAAATACT